GGAGGAGGGTGATCATTTCGTACTGTACTACTTGGGAGGCAACTGTCACAGGCAGCTGGGATAGCTGTTGACTTCGGAGGCTATTCTAGGTAAATTCGTGCATGGCTGCTTCCATCTTCGCGAACTCGCACAGTTTGTAATCGAGTTGATCCCATAAAGCAGAAAGCAGTGGAAATTGACGATATACCTGGCTTCGGACGAACAAGGGTGTATCTCGTATTTAGTGCCTCTCGAACCAGTGCAGACCACCTGCTAAGCCAGTGACTCTCATGTTTTTTTGCGCGGTCGCTTTTCATTAGTTTAGCTCTCTCCATCTGCAGGTTATTCTGATAAATCTCGTCTCGAATCTTTTTTTGATGCGGGTAATTCACCAGAATAGAGTAGTTTTAGGGTTGTTTGAGTGTGGAGCGGAGCACTGTGCCAATTACTGCACTTTTACTTAACACTGTCCTTGTGTTTTTTCCCCGTACCGGCGCTCGTTCACTGTTTGCAGCATCCTGGGGCATTTGTGGTTGCGGAGTTGAACTTCCTGCTTGTTGCTTCTTCCGTCATTCCGTTGCATCGTAAATAGGCTTCAAGTTGACTGCGCTGTTTCGTTGTGCACAGCAGTCATCGTGCATGAATGTCTCTGCTCTCCTCTCCAAGGCCATTTTCTTCCAGCTATTTCACTTTTCTTATGCCTTCCCAGTTTTGGCATTTATGGGTGGTGTTTTCTGGATAAACTGGGAGCTGTTTTTTGTTGGATCCGCTCTCCCCAGGGCGCCATGTAAAAATGTTGAAAACATGGGAAGTGGTTAGTTGCAGTTGTTTCTTTGACTGTCTGACGGATCTGTGCGTGAGTGCTTTTGGTACCGGGGACCAGGATTGTATTTGCGGAGAATTTCTTTCATCCTGTGTTTGTTTTTTTTTTCTTCATTATGTTGTTCACCCACTGTAGTTTTGCGCTGTCTTGTCGCTGATGTACAACTGTATCACTCCACCGCTGGAAATAGTATTACAGTGTTATCTTGTTTTCCCCTCTGAACCGTAACACTGTGTGTGTGTGCTGTTGTATTCTTACCGATACCTTGCGCGCAGCACTTTCCTCATTTTAGAGCAGACGGGCATTTATTACGCAAAAGTA